TCGCTTTCTGGAGCCCGGAGACCCCCACCAGCCCCTCGCCCTCCCCCTCTCGCGCCGCCTGGGGCCACTTTGGTGCTGCAAATTCCGCTCCCCTCCTGCAGAGCCCGTTTCTCCGCTCTTTGCAAAAGCCGGGGCCTGCAAAGCGGGCCTGGGTTGTGCCTCTTACTCCACCCCCCCCCCGCCAACCTCTTTGCCTTTGAAGGGGGGGCAGAGAGTCGCTCCTGCCAGAGGCTGGTGTCCCAGAGCCCCCCCCCACCTCGCCCAAGGGCTGCATCCTCTGTCCCTTCGCCCTCTCCAGCCAGTCCAGCCTCCTGGACAATCGCCCTCTTGCCCACCCTGTTCTGACCCCGTGGCAGCGGCTGGGGGGGGGCTCTGGGCGTCCGGATATCGGCCTGAGACCTTCGGCTCCTGCCTTCCTCCGCGGCCTTCCCCACCTGCCCCCTTGTCTTGTTTATTCTAGTCAGAAAGGACCCGGGGAGCCTCCCGTTCTGCCTTCATCCTTTTTGATGCGCTGCTTCTTCTCTGTGACGGAAACGCCACATCGAGAAGCCCAGGCTGAAGAACAGTTTGATCGCTTACATTTTTATTCCAAACCTATTTACAGACGTATACATAGAGAATATTTTACATTATCTGCACAAAAACGTGACGGCCGAACAGCTTCTGCTCGGCTAGCTGGGAAGACGGCCCTCTGGGCCTCTCTGCTGCTCCAACAGTTGGCTTACAGGTCGTCCCCCTCCTGAAAGGAGGCCAGGAGAGGATCCACTTGCGCGAACGGTCATCTCGGCCGCTGGCCTGTTGAGTTCTCTCAGCCGGACTCTGGCCTCCCAGTGGCCGCCCGGCGACTCCCGCTCCTGGCCACTAAATTCAGCCCCCACGGCCTCCCGGGGGGGGGATCTTGGCCCGTCAAGGGGCGCTGGCCCGCATCTTCTCCAGGCAGGCGGTCCAGAAGGAGACGAGGCGGTTCTCCTTGTTCCCGCAGAAGTCCGTGAAGTCCTTCAGCAGCCGGTCGGCAAACTTCTCGTCCCCCGTGGCGCTGGAGCGCCAGGTCTTGGTCAGCATGGTGTTGTAGGCCCAGTTGTAGCCGATGCGCTCCTCGCAGAAGACGTTCTGGTTGGCGGAGCTGGTGGAGTTGCGCCGGCGGCGCTGCTGCCCAGAGAACTTGCGCTTGGAGTAGGGCAGCTGCAGGAACACGGCTCCTGGAGGGAGGGAGGGAGAAGGCATGGCAGCCCCAACCCAGCTGGGACAAATCCAGCAAGCAGGCAACCCTCTGTTCTTGGCCAGGGGAGGGTGCCAGGACCTGGGGGGGGGGCTCGGCTCAGAGTCCCACTGTCTGCTGTCTGCAGGACTCTCCGAAAGCATCCAGAGGAAGCCCCGACAGCTTGCAGCTTCTTCACTGTGCTCCACCACGGGGGCTCCTCTCCCTGCCCGGCCCCTGCCATCCCTTGGGACGGAGGGCGGCGGGATCCTCAGGGCGTGGCTCTGCCCTGGCTGACGGGCCGGTGGCTAGAAAGAGCCCAGAAAGGGCTACCCAGGGAAACCACACTCCCCTCACCTGTGACGTGGATATACTGGGGTTTGTTCTCCGAAGGGAAGTTGAAGGCGGAGGCCGAGTACTTGTCTTGGATGAATCCAAACCTGAAGACGACAGGAGAGGCCGTTGCAGGGAGGGGGTGGGGGGACGTGGCAGGAGCCCTCCCCACCCCCCCAGCCTCCCCAAACGGGGAAATCCACAGCTACTGAGTAGCAACCGGGAGTCCCTCCTGCACCCCGGGGCTGGACCGCAGCTCCCTCCTGCCGTTACCTGTGAGCGATCGCCTCCTGGAGAAGATGCATGCGGTCCGAGTA